GTGCGAAAGAAAAAATTATTGGCGACGCGCAACGGGCTGGTCCGTGCGATCATGCATTTTTGCAGCATTTGTTGCTGTAGTAAGATCGCTTGATGTCCCAATAGCTGGAACTTGTGACGTACTGGTCCTCAAAGTTCAGGAAGTTATTTGTGCAACTACACAGTACTTGGACAGGGGACATTCCCTTAAAATTTCAGCTTACCAACTTTTCTGGTTTCCAAATTAGTAACTTCCCCGCCAAAAATTTTCACAGGGCCGTACATGAGAAGCACGCCCTCCTGGGGTCTCAATTTGAAACTTTTATTTGTGTGTGGGCTGGGAGCATCCCCTCAAAATTTCAGCCTTCCATCTTTCTAATCCCCGAATTAGTGGTTTTCCCGCAAAAAATTTTCGCGGGTCCGTATATGGGAACCACACCCTCCTGGGACTTCGATTTGAAGTTTTTAAGTTGTACGTGGGCTGGGATTGGCTTTGTTGCCCAGTTGAAATGCCTGAACAAACGTGCATACACACATACACACACACACACACACATTTTCATATATGCAAAAACTCATAACAACGAGGCGAAGCTTTGATGACAATAAACCGTATAAGTGTTAGGCCGTACCGAACTGCGAAAAATGAGTTAATGGAAGACTACTGATTTTGAAAATTATGACAAAGCGTGTTTTTTTACTATGTAATGGCGAGATTTGTTGGCGTATTATTCTGGCTTTTGAAGGGACGGTTCTCCTACGCGATAAGTCAACAATAATAAGGCCAGTTCCTTCAATACTACTGCGCCAAAGGCAGTGACTCATGAGTGCGAAACATGATCACTGACAAAAGTTGAAGAGCGACTGCTAGCAGTGACAGAGAGAGGGACTGAGGAAAGATGCTTGGCATGTTACTTCGTGACCGCATAAACAGCCAGACTGTCCATCAGATGAGTACGTGTTGGATGCTGTTGCGACACATGGGAAAGGAAAACCCAAGAATATGCATGTTAGTCGCCTTTCTGACAAACACTGGATGTCAAGCATTAGCAATTGGTGCGAGTCAGGAAGAAAACGATCACTCGGGCGACTTTTGAAATGTAGAGCACATACATCGAACAGGCATTAGGTACTAACCGGAGGTATGCAACTCGAGATCGAAAGGCCTGGCACAGCTGCACGCGTCATGTGGGAGCATCCTAGTAATATTACTAATATGAGATACTCATACTGATGCCCGAATGGTCTTGGTTCTTAGGCCGTTCAATTTCGAGACCAAAAAGTAAAGAAACTGAAATTTTATCAACATAATATGCGGCTGAAGATGGCACCACTAAAATAAACTTTCAGCCTTCTTGCGCTAAGAAAGGGAAAGGGCGGAAAAGCGATCCGCTGCTGTCTGCTTGAGGAATACTTTGATAGAAGTATCAATTACAAGAAACAGTAGTGTTTCAGAAATTCCTGTAGTGGCAGTTGATCCTGGACTGAAGATTGTTTCAGGAGTTGAAAAATTCAAAGGTCGTATTTTGCATGCTCACCAGTATCGTGATTTTGAAGGATTCGAAGACAAAAACGTTTTCATTGTTGGGATTGGTAATTCGGCACTTGATATCGCTACAGAATTATCTGGAGTCGCAAAATCGGTTTGTACCGCTTCATGTACGCGTAGAAATTATCCCGATCAGACGTTTGCCTCGCTTTAACTTCTTTTTGTGTAGCTTGAAGCTGCCGCACAGAATCAGTGCTTCCCAATCGGCTTGACCAGAAACCATTATTGTCCTGCATTTTTGAGTTTGATGCATATGTGTTTTTTCCCACTGAATCAATCATATTAGACTGTACCGCTTCCAATCTTTGTGCGGCTGTCAGTGCGGGAACCCTGATCTTTCTTTCGGCACAAATCGCCAGTGCAGAATGGAATGCCGTACGTTGCTCCAGCCTCATTCTCTTGTTGTTGCTACTACAACTGTTGCCATTGTTGCTGCTACTACTGTTACTGCTATTGCTGCTATTGCTGTTGCTGCTACTACTACTTCTACTGCTACCGGTGCTGTTGCAGCTGCTTCTGCTACTGCTACTAGATCGTAATGATGCGACCCAACCAGTATCTCCTGAGGTACTGGCGTCAGCTAGTGCTGCAGAGAGTCCGGACGCCGAGGCTAGAACCGAGTGGGAGGCGCAGGACACCGCCTTAACAGGTTGCGAGTGATCCTCCACAGGATGTGGACAGTGAGCTGGATGCCTTTAGTTGCTGCTGCTGCTTTAGTTGCCTCTACTACTGTAACCGTTTTTAATACACATGTAAATGCAGCACATTACATCAAGAAGTAGTGTCAACCAACAGCTGAACAAAAAGCAGATTGGAGTAGGGAAGCCAAGAAACTTTCACCTCTCCTTTCAAAATAGAAAAGAAAAAAAGACTTTTTATTACAAAAAAAAAAACGGTAACTTTTCACCATTTTATAATAATCACATATTATATTCAGTTGAACAAAATCAAAGCCAAAAAAGCCGAATCAAAGTGACAGGAAGCAAAATCAGACCAATGCCTCATATATTTCAATATTTGTGAGCGGAAGACGAGACATTCTTAAGTAGCCTTAAGCGACGTTAAATCGCAAATATTCAGCTAACGTTGTCAAAGCTATCTGTGGAAGCTTCTTCCGAAAGTTGATTGAAACCAGGCTAGGGGCCTTTGCAACCTCGAACACAAAAGTCATTGAGTCAATTTTTTTTTGGTTTTTCAGATACCCTATTTGTTAAGGAGTTCCTTCCAAAGCCTTAATTAACTGCATTGATCAGTCCGGAAAGAGGAAGGAGAGGGAATTATAAATTGAAATGAAGCAAGCCATTCTTTGTGTTAAATGATCATTCATAATGAACCGCTGAGAGCTACATATTTGCATCAATGATGGTTATTATAACTGCTGCCCGGCTAACTATTCAAGTTCATAACAGACTGCAAAATAACCTCAGTTGTTGCGAAATAGAGTTTATTGCTAAGGATGGAAATTTAGAATCGTTTTTTTGCTATTCTTGAAAGCCGGCGCACTGGAAGCCTCTTTTCATGTAGCATTCAGCAGGAATTAGCTCAGTGGCAACTTGCTTCTGAACACTCTCCTATTAAAAAGCAAAATCCACTGATGCAGAGGTGAATGCATGATTTATTACTCAAATGCGCCGACGTTTACCGCACAACCGATGACGCTGCTTTGAGATATCCAATCACAGTGGACAACAGAGAGCTGCTTTTCCGCTTTAATTCATAAGTTATAACATGAGGACAGTAAAAACACGTAATGAATATAAACTAGAGGAAGCACTTAGACTATTCTAAGTGAGCTGAGGAAAGACCAAACCCACCGGGTAAACGAATTTTCGTGCTTACCAACGAATCTTATTTCGTCCAATGGAAGGAGAGCAGCGTCTTTTGAGAAGGGAGCGCCCATGCGTGACGATGAGGAGAGCTAGCAAATGGAGGCAAGCAGTTCAAAATAGAAGGTTTCGGCATAACTACGTTTGGCTTGTGATTTGGTGCCATCAGTCAAGCAGCATCTCGATGGAAATAGAGCCCTTGTGGGCGCAATAAAATTGCCCTGGATGTACTGCATGCGGACGACAACATGGATCATACTTTTTTCCAGGTGACTATTTCAACTCGACGAGGCACATGGATATTCAATCGTGTGAATCAGGGAGGAATGCCGTACGATATAAAATTTATGACTCGGCTGTATAACTACTTGATGGATAAATTGCCGTGGACGATTGTAAATGACTTCATGGAGCATCGCCTTCAAGTTTGTCTAATTTGAAAAAAATTAAATCATGGGACTCATTCAAGTTACGCAGCGCATTTCGCTTACTTTCCGCATAAGTTTTGTTTCGTCTTATATTTGTAGCGGCCTGAAAATTTTCTTTCAAAAAGCCTTTTTTTTTTGATAAAAAAATTTCAAACAGCCGTTCCAAAATAACTTCCAAATCACTGGTGTATTTCCAGCAACGACTGGATCATGATTTGTATGGGCTTCGTCCGAACCATCGCTTCTTTCAGCAGCATCCCACTCTCAATGATGACTTACCTAACCTGCTATGCTCGGGTCGTGTCGTCGTTACGGTAACTGGCTTTTAATCATATTTATCGGAACTAAAATTGAGAATTTGAACACTTCCATTAACACTATAATATGGCAGAAGCAGCCGATTTTACACGTGTTCTTCTAGGAAGACGTGGAATGTGTGGATGAGAATGAAGTGCAAGTAAAAGGCGGTCGTCGGTTCCCAGCTGATACAATTATCTTTGCAACTGGATATACGTTTGAATTTCCATTCCTACAACCGCAGTCAATCATACCAATTGAGGTCTCTCCTTTTTCTCACGAAATTTCAAGAAAACATGCTTGTTTTCACAGTAAAAAGAAAAGCAAAACAAGACAGTTCTTTTCAGGGAGATCGCACCGTAGTTAAA